CCTACTTGGCTGTGAATTATCCCTTTTTATCCAGAGTATCCATACTATATATGTTACCCACCCATTAGTCATTTAGTAGCCTCAGTTGCATCACAGTGCTTGTATTCAAATGCAAGGATATGGATGCTGGCCATTTTATTATAGGACTGTTATAACTGGTCCATAATTATTAGTTATAGTTGCTAATGTCTTGTTGTAACTATATATTAAACCTTATCATTGGTATATACGTAAAGCAAAAAATATAGTATATAGATAGTATTTGGTATCATCCACAATTTCAGGCAACTACTGTGGGTCTTAGAATCTACACCTTACAGATAAGGGAAAACTTCTGTATTAAACAGGTAGAACCAATAAACCTGGCAATGCAGGAGAATAAAATACAAATGGTTTTCATAATTACTTCTGACTTCTGATTTGGGTAACAGGGAGGCAAAACAAATTCATTAATATGAAACCCAAGAAAAGCAATGTGAATGTGTAGAATGGAAATGAGGTGGGACATAATTTTGGATGTGTTGAAACTGAGGATTCTCTGGAAATTCGATACATAACTCTTAGTAGATCAGTCTTAGTACTGAAACCATATTGAGGTGGTAGTTAAAATGCTAACACAGATTTACAAACAGGAAGGATACGTGGAAGAAGAGAATTAAACACAGAATTAAAAGACAGATGAAGAAACCCTAGCTGACAAAAAGAGAAGTGAAAGGAAGAAGGCAATAAGAAAAAGAAAAAAAAATTTCAAAAAAAAGAAATCAGAGCATTTCAAGCATCAAATGATACCAAAAGGTCACAAAAGAAAGGACTGAAAAGAATGCACTGGATTTAATAACCAGGCAACATATAGCACAGCAAGGACAATAACCAAAAGGTCAGGGCAGAAGTCTTCTGATGTAGGGAATTAAGGAATGCATGAGAGAGGAGGAAGTTGATACAGTGCCAGTAATCCACTGGCAACTGAAAATCCCAGGGTAAAGGGAAGGAGAAAATCTGTGTTGTTTAGTACAGTGGATGGAATAATGGCCTTTCAAAGATGTCCACAACCTAATCATAACTTGTGTATATGTAACCTTGTATGGCAAAGGGAATTTTATAGAAGTGATTAAGGATTTTAAGATAAGGAGCGTATCTTGGATTACCCAAATTGGCACAAAGTAATCACAAAGGTCCTTATAAGAAAAAGGCAGAAAATCAAAGAGGAAACTCTTCATGCTGTTGGTTTTGAAGGAGGAGGAAAGGGGCCTTGAGCTAAGGTATGCAGGCAGCTACCTGAAGCTGAAAATGAATTCTCCCCCTAGAGCTTGAAGGAGAGTGATTTTGTACTTTTGATAGTAAAACTGAATAATAACATTTTCAAATAAAAGTTTAAGTTTATTGTTATATCACATAAGCTCTTTCTGTGATCTTTGGCTTCAATTATATATTGATTTTTATGCACTCGGAGTTAATGACTGCTGAACAAATTAAGGGAGAAAATGGAATAGAGTATAGGCATAAGAATTATCCTCAGGAAGAATAATGACTCCTTCTTTTACTAAAATAGGAAAGAAAGAAAGAAAGGTGTACTACAGATAAATATAAAATATGAATTGCGGAAAGTAAATCACTAATCCATACTATTTCCCAGGATCAGAGGTATGGTTTACTAAGTGACTCCTATACTTTATATGTCAAATACCTGAATGAAAACACTCTCTCTCAAAATGCTGCAACACAGAAATTATCAACACTTGACAGAGGACAGGTGCTACAAATAGTAGGATTCAGACCCCAGTCTATTTGACTCAAACATGATACTGAGAAATGTGGTAGATAACACATTAATCAATCAAGTGGTCAAGGTCAACATCACCAGTAATAAGACCCTGCCATCACGCACCTTTGATATGATGTACTATGAAGAACACATTACCTCTATGGAATTCTTCCCAATAACACAACATCTTAGTCAAATCACACACACACATACACACACACACACAAAAAAATTGATGATTCTTCAAAAAGAAATTGATCAGTTCTATTTGAAGCTCCAGGATATGAAATACAAGAAAAAAATGGGGGACTGTCACAGACTGAGGAAGACTAACAACACATGAAAAATGCAGTGTCAGATCCTAGAATGCATCCTGGAGAGAAACAAAAAGAATGGTAATTGAAAAACTGGTGAAGTCAGAATAAAGTGTGCAGTTTAGTTGATAGTATTATACCAAAGTTTAGTTTTTAGTTTTGAGTACTGTATTATGGTCTCCAAAAACAATACTATACTGCACTGCCTCCTTTAGGGCAAACCACTTGCCTGTGGGTCTACCTTTTGTAGTCTTTTCCAGAATAATTTACATAGCTTCAAAGTCTAAGTTCACGCTCTGGCTTGTAGTAATAGCAGTTATGGTTTGAACACAGGCTGAGTTCCTAAATCACCTGGTACCCTGATCTTGACTCCTGAGCTAGACTGGAAACTTAACACTGAATTTCTTGGCTCCTACCTTTTTGGTATTAAACAAATCAAAACCCTGACCCAATCTTTGATTGATATACTAATGGGAAAGCATCTAAGTGAAGGTAGCTGGTTAAACGCAAAGGGTACAGAATATACTGGATAAGTTAGCGATTTCAGAACACATTATGCTTTTAATAATCATTATATTCTGTTAATTATCACATTTTAAAACACATCTTCAGAAAATGTAAAGAAGAATCTCAGTACAATAGTCTAAAACTTAAAAATTCCATAAAAACATAATACTCAAAGGCAATTTTCTCAGGAAAGTAAAAATATCATAAAACATTTTTAAAATCACTTTGCTTGCCTCTCATTTACCCTAGTAAAATAAATAGAACTATTTGCTAATATTATTTATGATGATGAATATTGGCAAAGGGTACTCAAATTAAATATAATAGCAAATATTTATTCAGCCACTACTAATGAACCAGGTATTGGACAAGAGTACTTTTGATAGGAGTAATCCAACTTGTTTAAAATCCTTTTATATTTAATATTATCCATCATGGAGAGATGTTTACCAATAGCCTTAGTTAATAGTAAGCTATGATTTAACGCCAGGTCCAGCAGAAATAAAATGCATGCTACACGTAAGTTTAAATTTTCAAAAAAAACACATTAAAAAAAAGTAAAGAAAAACAAAAAGGTAAAATTAATTTCAACATGTAATCATCTTTTTAAAAATTGATATTATTTTTGCATAATAAACCTTCAAAATTCACTATGTAATCTACACTTAACAGCATTTCAATAATGACTAGCTACATTTCAAATGCTCAATGGTCATATATAGCTAGTTGCTATCCTACTGGATAGCACAGATCAACCTGCTGCTTAATAAAGAGAAAATACCCTCTGTGTTGTAGGGTTGAACTTTAATTCTATTTTACTAATAAAATTCAATTACCTTTACACTTGTAAATCAATAAATTCTTTTTTCTGAGCTCTCGTCTTTTCTTTAAACAAATTCTAGAGAATACACTAGAGCTGCTATAAGAAGTAATGACTTCTTCAAATTATAAGTTTGAGTGTTTTTAATTAAAAAGGATATATACTAAATGCTCTCATAAAAATCAAATACATTTTTAAAAAGACAAAAACATACAGGGGCATCTATTATAAATAATTTTCAAGTCTTGATACTCTGAAATCAGACCAAAATATGAATAAATTGAAAGCTATACATCCAAAGATACTTCTTTAAGTCTTAAGAATCAATCATATCATTTACATTTAAAACATTCAAATCCAGTTAAAAGCTCTCCAAAAGTTTCATTTAAAGCAAATTTCTTTTTCATACATATGTATTTTCCTTATAATGTATAAATACAGCTTTTCCAATTCATTCTTTTTTTAAGAGAGAGAGAGAATTTTTTAATATTTATTTTTCAATTTTTTAGGTGGACACACATCTTTATTTTATTTTTATGTGGTGCTGAGGATGGAACCCAGCGCCCCAGGCATGCCAGGCAAGCGCGTTACTGCTTGAGCCACATCCCCAGACCTCCAATTCATTCCTTAAAGAATATTTCTTCCTTGTGGGAAATATGATATTTGAAATGTTAATTTAAAAAAAAAATTTGCTATGTTTTATCTTTGGCCTAATTCCAAAGTAGAACTATGGAAAGTCAATATTATTTATACAGAGTAAGAAACTGAAGATCTTTTTATAATCTGGGACTCTCATGTTTTAAAAGGATCATTTTCAATGATTTCTTCCTAACACAGTGCCTGGCATATATTGTTTCTTAATAAATATTTGTTGAATGAACAACAAAATAACAGGCATCGAATACTAACACAGCTAGCATTACAAAATGAAATGTTTAGTGGTAATTTTCAATTGAAAGGTTTTAATGGAGTCCAGATGAAAACTGGAGCTAAATTAAATAAAATACTATCCATCACTTATTTCCACTGAACACTTTTGAGGCACAGATATTATTACCCTTATTTAATGTATGAGGAAGGTGGGGTCAAAAGTGGTTGAGTCATCTAATTATTAAGTAGTAGAGCCAGATTTCAAGCCAAGTCCTCAAAACTGCGGCGGGGGGGGGGGGGGGGTAGAGCACATATTAAAGTTGAGGAAGGATAGAGATTTTAAATGGGATGTGTGCACATTACTAAAATTATATTTCATGCATATCTGTTAAATTAAAAAAATACAAAAAATTCTGAAGAAAAACACACAACGGATAGTCCGTTACAATATCTCCTGCGCACTCTTGCTCTCCTCCCACCAACATCTTTTTAAGAAATTCAAGCCTATATAAAATATAATGTCCATTAACAGTATTGACCAGAACTTAAAGGCAGAAAGCAAAAAAGGCCACATCCTTCAATCTGTTCTCCTAGAACAAGTCAAACGGGCAAATAAAGCAAACCCCACGGCCTGGCGCACAGAGAAGAGGCGGCGCCCGCCCGGGCCCTTGGGGCTCATCTATTCCCATCCCCTAGGGCAGCGCCAGGACAATTGACTCCAGTTTACCTGACAGGCTCCCGCCACCGCTTGAACCAACTGCAGCAATTGGCCATCAGACAGAACATCCCAGGTAGCTCCTCCAGCCACCTCCCATCCGAACTCCTAGCGAGGATGGGCCCCTAGCTTTCGCGGACCGATACCAGGGGCCCTCGCATCAACCGGGAGTCTCCGGAGACGGATAGGCCCCGAGGACAAGCTGGGTGGGAGGCAACCGGTGAGAGCACCAAGTCCCGCTAACTGGGTCCGCCCGCGAGCGGGTAACGACAACCCTTCTCCCCAAGGGACAACGGTACCAGAGGCACACCGGAGCCGGGTTAGCTGGACCTGACCAGAGAAAACCCCGCGTCTACGTGCTGACGTTCCTCCCAGGCGCGGAAGACCCTCCTCAAGCACCGCCCACATTTCGTCTCTCCAATCAGCGATAAAGGATCTGCAATGGGGGACTCTGAGTGGCTGAAAGGGCCGGACCCTCCGCCCTCTCCAGAGCGATGGGAAGGGGAGGTGGGCGTGGTCTAGAAGGAGAAGGTGGAGCTCGGGGAAGATGGCTCTCGTAACTAGGCAACCGGAGCGTCCGGAGATATACCGAGTGAGGGGATAGAATTCAGGCAAGGCCTATCCTTATATCCAAAATGTATTACTTGCCCAGTGTGGCTGCTTCTGTTCTGTCTCGAAAATCCCTGAGATCCAGAGATCTTGGGTCTTGTGCGTGGATTTGTTTTGTTAGTGCAGTAGCGATGGGAATCCTCTAGGGTCCTGGTCAACTCAGACTGCATAACTACAGGAACAAATCACTGAGGCAATTATTATAAATTAAGGATAAGCCAGAAACTCGTTTGTTAAATTGTCTCAATAGTTCAAATGGCTGTGATGTTTTAATCTCTATGCTTATGTGTATTTGCTATGTAAAATGTGAAATGTAATCATTTGATATTTGCTGTTATGATTACAAAAGAATTTTATGTTCATTAGTTAATATGTGGAAAACACTGAAAGGAACAAGAAAGAAAATAATATTTATCATTCACCACCCAAAGATAACCAGTGTCAGCACTTTGATGTATGTTTTTTCCTAGATTTTCAGATACATGATTGCTGGCTATTTAATTTCAGCAGTTTTGACAGTGTGATCTACTGACTATTTTGTAATGTTTCATTTTCATAGTTATGCAATATAGGGATTTCTGTTATATTCTTTGAGAGAAAATGATAAGTACATTTTGAAAAATGCATGCATGTTAGGTAAGTAGAGACATGTTTGTTCATTCAGTTTCCATAAACATATACCATCAAATTCTAATAAAAGAAAAGAAAGCCCTGGGAATCCCTGTGTATTCAAGGAAAAATAGTGGTTTGGAACTAATATTTAGGTTTTAAATTATTCTCTGATTTTTACTAACTCATCTCATGAGCTTACTGTGAACTTCTGTGCTCCATCTATAAATTGGAATGAAAATATCTACCCTGCAGTATTACTGATATGTAATGAAAAATATATATATATATATATATATTAAGTGCTATTTCTGATAGCAGATTTTGAAATTGGTGTTTCTGTCTCATAACCATTTATGGCATGTCATATCCTCCAGGGTCGGGGATGAGAGGACACGGCAAAATAAGGCCAAAAATTAGCCATTTACTATAAGCCAGATAAGCACTGTTTCTGTTGACACACTTCCTAAAACTAGTGGTTCAAAACTTCAAATAGCTCTATTGTTGATGTTAATTCTTATCCATTAACTATGATTGGGCTTAAGTCCCATCAAAACATACATTTTAGATATAACTTTTGTCTTCCTGATTATCAAATCAGTTCTCTTTTCTTTTTGAATCTTTTAATATGTTTAGTGGAGTTAACACTTTTCTAAAATTTTCTCCTTGAACTTTCACAAATATACACTATTCTTGTTCTCTTCTTATCTCCCTAGCCATTCTTCCTCTGGCTTCCTATATATATTCTCTAAAAAATATGTTGTCTTGGAGAATTCGATCATTACTTCTGTGCCCATAGGCTGTTACTGTGTGACTGTTTCTTGAGCATTTCAGGAACTAAGCTTGAAACTTTTTTCCGAAACATGTACTCACACTAACTCTAATTCATAACTTTCCCAGTTCTGGTAGTGATATATTTCTCCTTTTTTTTTTAAGAGAGAGAATTTTTGATATTTATTTTTTAGTTATCGGTGGCCACAACATCTTTGTTTGTATGTGGTGCTGAGAATCGAACCCAGGCTGCACGCACGCCAGGCAAGCGCGCTACCGCTTGAGCCACATCCGCAGCCCTATATGATATATTTCTTGTACTAACATGCAGTCAGTCACAAAGCTAACAAAGCCAACTCTTTGTTTTTCAATATATTAACTTAAGTTTTTGCAGCCACAAGAGCTGCTCATCATTTCTAGTTATCTTTTACTTAGAGGCATGAAATAGTTATTCCCATATGGAATCCAGCATGCCATGTATTTTGTTTTGATCGCTGAAGTGTGAGTGGTACATCACTTTTTAGTGAAAGCATTTAAGAGCAATTCTCCATGTTCTCTCATCCTTTGCAATGGCAGTCATGAGAGAGTATGTTGATTAGAGGTACCATAAAATCAAGGCAGCATGGAATGCTAAGCCAACACTGGAAGACAACTACCTAAAATTTGTGTAGATCTAGAATAGACTTCCCATGGCCAAGAAATAACACTTGTTATCTTAACCACTGTAATTTTATGACTGTTTTACACAATGTCATCTATTTTATTCTGAATGATGAAAATAATCTTGCCACTATCATTCTTTTTGCCATAAATATTCCCAGGCTCAAACTATTAAATTGAGTTAAATATTTATGAATCACTCACTGTTTTAGGCACTAAGAGTATAGTTGTGAACAAAACATAAGAGAATTCTCACCTCATCAATCGTGAATTCTACTGATGGGAGGGATGATAAGGCAGATATCAAGCATAATTAAGTATATTAGGTAAATTATCAGCAGAAAAATGATATTGGGAAAATATAAAATTAAATGAGGGGATGGGGTTAGAGTTAGGAATGGTATTAGATTAAGAGTTAAATTTTGAACACTTTGTATATTGTATATTTAGAAGTATATTCAAAATACATTTCAGTTGAATAAGATTCATCATGTGTTAATCAATATTGAGCTAAAGTTAGATATCATCATCACAGAGTGAACTTCTGAGGTAAATTAAAAGCCTGAATATTTTATCCAAAGATGTATTATTAAATTTTATTTTTAAGAATTTCAGATGATTTTTCAAATTTTGATACTACAATGTAGGACACAGTTTTGTTTTGTTTTTCTGTTAGCACTGATAACTATTGCTGGCACTGTGCTGGACATTTGCAGGACTAAAAAGATAATCACATTCAATCATAATCTTTGAAAGAGGAAGATTTTTTTTTTTCTTTTTGTCAATTTATGTTTCTCTAACATTCCCTTCTTCATACTTTTCATATTTTTATGTTTGTATTTGAGATGATTATTTTGAATGTTGTTGATTCATAGCCTTGGAGATTTTTCCCTCCTTGAGAAATTTGAGATCTCATAGTTTATATTCTCTTCTCAATTTGTCCTCACAAGGTGAGGAGATTCCCAAATGGGGATTTTATTTGCAGTCTCATAGCTTACAGGTATTTAAATATTTATTAATTAAATATAATACTTATCAATTATTTTGTTTAATATAACCCAAACAATTCTACAGAGTTTTGAAGTGTATTTATATTTAAATCATTTGGGACTGAGAATAAAGTAACAAATAGACTGATAGACGGGGTGAAGTCAAAGGAACCAAGAAAGAAGACAATTTAAAAGAGTCATAGATATACTCAGTCATTATTTTTATCTATTTGCCTTTTTTTTTTCCTTTTCCTGTAGTACTAGGGATCTAACCCCAGGCCTGATGCATGCTAGTCAAGTGTCCTACCACTGAACTATATCCTGAGTCATTTTTATTTTTTACTTTGAGCCTGGGTCTAAGTTGCTCAGGATGGCTTGAAATTTAAATCCACCAGCCTCAGCCTCCCAAGTAGCTGGAATTATAGTCATGCACTACCACACCTGTCTTTCAATAATGCTTTTTTGCAATGAGTTGAAGAGGTTTATAACATACCATCCCAAAATATGCCATTTTGGCATATGTATTATTTTGAGTCAAAGGCAATCAAGAACCAACAGAAGTCAAGAAACCTCTTTACTTTCCCCTCAACTGCCTAAAAATAATTAATTTCTTCATTAGTAAAGGAAATTGTGTTAGTTTTTTATTGCTATTACAAAATACCAGAGAAAATAATCTTAAAGAGAGGAAAAGTTTATTTTGCCTCTGGATTTTAGAGGTTTCAATTCATGTTTGCTTTGCCTGGTTGCAATACATTTTGGCAGAAGAGCAGTTGGCAAAAGAAAGCTGCTTACCTCATGGCACCTGGAAGCAAAAAGAGAGACTAAGGTATGGGATTCCCAATATTCCCTTCAAGGGCGTGTCCCCAGTGATCTTCCACTAAGCTCTACCTTTTAATGGTTCCATCACCACAGGCTTATGATCAAGTCTTTGGAGGACATAGTAGTTCTAAACTATAGCAAACTTACATTTGTCAACTAAATTTCCATTAGTAAAGGTATTTACTTGTGCCAGGAAGAGAGCTACTTCTGAAGACAATTTTTATTGCCTGAAAAACTCTTACCTGTACAACAAAGCAACCCTTCTTGACAATACATTTCCTCTGCCTATCTTCCTTTAATTTGCCTCCTGTCCCTCCAACTTCTATACCATTCCATAGCTTAGGATGTTATATGTGTCAATCATTTGGCCACCGCCTTTGGTTTCATATTTTAGTGAAACTCCCTGCATGCATATGTAATTATTTATTGTTTTCTCCTATTAGTCTATCTTATGTCAATTTAATTTTAAGACAAGGCCCAGAACATACAAGGAATATAGTAGGAAGAATTTTCCTCCCTTACAGAGTGAATGAAAATTCCTCAGCCCATGCTCTTATGAGAAAAAGTGACTCTAGTATTAATCAAATTCCACCCAGCTGCATCACAGAACTGTAAAAAGCTAGAGCTGGAAGATACCTTTAAAATATGGAACCCTATCAAATTTCACTCATACACATAAGAAAACAGTTGATATTTCATTTGGGCAGAAAATGAATAATAAGTATGCATTGAATACTACTATTGGATACACACTTATTGCTTTGTATGTTGTCTACTGAAATTATCAGCTGTATGAAAATCTATAAGTATCCCTATTTTACAGATGATAAGACTGAGTGAAACTTAAAAAGATGAAGCAATTTACTGAAAGCTACAATTAGTAAGTGGTAGAATATGAG